CCGGGTCTGTGAAATGTGGCCAGATGACTCCAGTCTTTATTTGTACTGGGGAGGTGAAGAAACTTCATTGTTATGTATTTAGGAAAGGAATTATCTGTCCCCAGTGGAACTGGAAATTACCTGATTCTGGCCTTTCCCGGGTGAGTGTTTGCAAGGCTAAGTCTTAGGATGTGTAGGTTTCCTGTCGCTCACCATCTGGGGCCCCACGGGCCCCGGCCACTGCTCCCTGGCCCCCGAGTTTATCTTAAACATTCCCTGAACTTATAAGTCTTCAGCGGATGCTTGGGGACCTTCCCAAATTCCCCAGGCTCTGCCATCTGATGGCAGATGCATTTCTTGTCTCCTCTCTCTTGGCTGGCCTTTGCCAAATATAACTGCTTTTTAGAACAGCAATCAAAACCTTCCAGATCTCTCTAGACTTGAGTACTTCAAAACCATATTTTAGTTAGTACCTCTGGCTAGGCTTCTTCCTGACCAGGATTCAAAAGCAGCGTGGCACATGTCTGTCCTACAGAGGGGGGAATAAAGCAAAAAGCACCTGCTAATCCTTGACGATCCATTCCCTAGAATGGTTCACAGCAAACTTCTGCTCTGTGATAAATGTGTTCTTGATGTAGATGCCTGATCTTCTGTCTTCACATTTGGGCTTTTTTCTTCCGTCTTCCTTCCACTGGTGCAGTCTTTTGTCTCTTAACTTTTAAGGTTCTGGATCTCACGCTTTCCCTGTGTGGCCTACCGGGTTACAGACTTTACAACAAGAATACCACTTCATTTCCTGCATCAGGGGAGACATTGCTAGGTCTGACCTTTCTACTCCCTTGTCTCCGTGCCTTGTGGGAGAAGAATCCCCCGTATGTGAAAGAGCCCTATTATGGACATGCAAAGGATGAACTTTGGGGTGGGGCTCTCTTCCGAGTTCAAATTCTGGCCACGTGACCTTGGGGAAGTGACTCACCCTCTGCATGCCTCCGTTTCTTTAGATGCAAAGTGGGGAACTAAGAGTTTGTTTTGAGCATTAAGTAAAATCTTACTTTGGAAGCATTCAGAAAAATGCCCAGCCTGTGGGAAACGTCAGCTGCTTCAAGGACACAGACTAGGTTTTTGAGTGCCTTTGTCCCATTTTTAAGACGGTGACATGGCTGGGCATGCTTCTCCAGGAGGAACTCTGCCCGGCCCCTTCCTTTGCCATCACACTAAGAACACCATGAACGTCTGTCTGTCTGTCTCCACTCACCCACGGGCGATCGGGCTAGTTTCGCAAGCACAAAATACACCAAAGCCAACATGGACTGGCCAAGGACTATTGAAGGACTGGCCTTCTGTAGGGTGAAGGGTTGTGGCCATTTCTGCCTGAGCCTCCTGCTCCCCATCATAAGTTTTGTTTCCCAAAGAACCTTTCAGCCAAGACGAGACCTTTCTGGTTCTGCCCTTCTTTCCTGCCCAGATGCCCCAGGCTGGGCTGTAACACTTCAGGAAAGAAGAGGATCCCCTCTTTGTTTTTCTTTTCCTTAAGCCTAGAGTCCTCCACGGATGCTTTCCCTGCCTCTGAAACGCACAATGGCCCATCTCACCAGATTCCCGAAAGACTCAGGAAGCCAGGAAAAAGGTTCATTCCCCTTCTACCAGAGAACCCCCCGCCCCCCCCCGATCTTTGGTGTTTTGTTAAGAAGGGAAGACCGTCTCGTGGCAGATCCTGTAAACCCAGGTGGCATGACCCAGATGGGGGTCTTCCCAGTGTCTCCATCTCCCGCTAGCCTGATTCACGGGCACCATATGATGCTTCTGTCCCCCTCCTGTCAGCCTGTTTTAGGCTTAGGTTCATGGCCTATTTCTTTCTCCATGAGGATTATAAAAAACAAAACTGTACTTGGCACCTATAAGGACAGAGCATTATCATCATCAAGCCTGCCGCTTGTTGGCTTCTTAGCAGGTGCTTCGTAATTTGTACACACTGTTCTTGTTCTTTACAACCCTAAGGAGGAGGGGTCGCTGTTATTCCCATTTTACAGAGGAAACTAGATGTTCAGTAACTCATCCCTATCACACAGTAATGAGAAAATCTGGGATTCAAACCCCAAATCCCTCCTTCCAGAGGGCAGTGCTACTTCCCTGAAGCAGGACAGGGAGTGGGGTCACCCCATTGCCCAGCTGCCACTCCAGCTCCTCACAATCCAGCTACCCAGCCTCTCTCTTCCCTCCATGAACGTGCCGCATGATTCTCTCTGTTCTCCAACTTGTCAACCCTGTAAAATGCCACTGGCATAGCCAGACGGACTCCTTATAGGGCACACCCTGTGTTTCCTACCCCTCACCCATCACCGTGGCCCCTTGAGTGGCCACTTGGCTTCCTCCCGCGGGTTAAGGGTCCAAGAGCGTGCTAAATGTATCTTACCGCTCAGTCACTGGTAAATTACCTTCACAGCAATGCTGGAAATGGGATGGGAGGTATTAGCCTCATTCTGTAGATGAAGAGTGGCTTAACTGGGTCCAGAGGCTTGGATGGTTCCAGAACCTATTCCCTGATACTGTCTGTTAGAAAAGGTACAGAGTGTGTCCTGTGGTAAGTTCCATACAAATATAAGGTCCCGGTAGACTAGGAGGAGTTCCACAGGGCAGATTGTGCATCAGTAGGAATTGTCATTGGGTCCCCTCTCCATGCATCCCAGTGATGAGCGGCTGAAAACTCTGAATTCCCTGCCCCCTTGGCTCTTTACCCTAAAAGACAGGAGTGGGGGACAGGCATCCCAGGGCCAAATGCAGGCACTCCTTTCCTGCCTCCTTGCTCCCACCTCCCACAGGACCCAGAAAAAGCCAGAAGCGAGGCTTGCCCTGAGGTCCCCTCCAGGATTCTGGAACGTACTCCTGCCTCCTGCTTATTAATTTCCAAACCCTTTGCTTCTTAGAGCTTCTTCCCGGCCTCTGGCTTCTTGCTCGCCGTGGATTCATCTCTGAACGGGTCTGGAAACCAGTTCCTCTTAAGTTTTCCCCAGGAAGCACTGGGCCACGGGAAATCTTAGACATCCAGACTGGCCTGAGATATCTGGGCAGTGACTCCTAGTGGAGTCAACAGTGTTTGATTAATTCTACTTCCATTTCACTCCTCTCTTGGTAAACACAATCAGCTTCTTGACTCTGACAACTGTTGCTTCTGTCTGTGATAAAACAACAGAAACTTCTGTAACCTTTGGGTTGTATTCCTCCATCTTTGAATAGCTTTCCCTCTGTGGCAGTGCACCAAGCAGTTTTACCATTTTTGTCTTCGGGTTGGGTTTTGTGTAGACATTCAAACGTTTAAAGATTCCATTTATTTATACCAATTTTTTTTTTCCCCTGAAAGCAAATAGGCGTTGAGTCCCCCCCAAGAGCACTGCCTTTGTGGTTGATTTGTAAAGATTTGTACTGCTTTTCGGAAAGATCGGCGAACGTCTGATGCACGTGCACTAGGAATGTGAGGTGCTGCCTCCCCTCAGAAAGGAGTTTCAGTGGGGAAAGTGGGGATTGCATGCAGCACAGCGGTGTCTTTGTAAAAGCAGAAGTGTGTGCTCAACTCTTAGTTCTTGGTTGCTGATTTTTGCCACGGGTCCTTCCCGGGTCTCGCTCAGTCTGTCCCCCATGGCCTAGCTGGCCCCTTTGCTTGGTGAACCGGACCACCAGGGCACCTGGTGTCTGAGCTTGCTGATGCTTGAAGATGCCATTGGAAGTAGAAGGCATCCCCCAGGAGCCCTGATCCTGGACCCCATGCCTGCCTGGTGCTTCCCCACCCCCACCCCCAAATGGAAAGAGCATAGGGTGAGGAAAATGGGGTAAGACCGACATCCCCTAGGGCTCCTTCTGTTGATCACCATCGCTGACATCTTGCATGCATGTCATCCTCGCTCACCATTGCAGCTAAGTGCTTCCACTTGCCTCCCCCAAGTGGAATATGAAGCTTGTTGGCGCTTTTCATCCTGATAAATTCGGAAGCCCATAGTTTGATAGTCCCTTGCAGTCCCCTTTAAATGTCAGGGGATGCAACTGGACCTTTTCCCCGAGTTTTGCCTGGCCCCCAAGAGTGATTCTGGAGCTCCTGCTTATTTATTGGCGGAGGGTCTGCAGACCCGAGGACTTGAGAACTAGTGGGTCCTGGAAAGAGACCCAGTCCCCGGAACCCCCGCCCCCAACTCCCCAGGTGCCTCCTCAGAGCCATACAAGGGAGGTGAGAAATAGTTAACAATGACAGGACATGAAAAGTGTCAGGAGGCTGTCATTTACTGCCATCTCACTGCGGGCTGTACCCCATGGCTCGCTTCCTTAAAGGACCCAAATCCTACCCGCTACAGCTAATCTCCAAACTTGCACCTTTTTTGTTGGTTTGTTGAATCTCTCTGCCGGTCTCTAAGGTAAATGCCCTGCTGGGTGGGCAGAATTCAGAGTGTACGAGCTCTTGCCTCTGACCGGTGTGGGTCAGAGTAAAGCACCCGATCACCCTCTACCCACACCCCACTGTGCCTGTGCCTGTCTACCCGCGGCAGACACAGATGCTGGAAGGTTTCCTCCCTGCTCAAACGTCTCTGTCTCCCTAAGTACTGGAAATGTCAGGTCTCGGCTTCGTCAGGGAAGGTCTTGACTTCATACCACAGTACCAGCTAGCTCCTAGACCAGAGGAAAGAAAGAACAGGCTTCCAAATCATGTAACTTGGAAGCCAGCAGATGGCTAGTTCTGACTTTTATTCCCCCCTTAGGACACCCTCTCCCCCCTGCCGCACCCCTACCCTACCCCTACACACACCAATATCCGCTCTCCAGCTTCTCTCTTTATATTCATTTTGGAATAAAGGATGGGAACTTCACCCCTTCAAACAGAAGAGCCCCTTTAACTAGAGAGGCCAACTAAATCGAATCAAATTCATGGCACAGCAAAAGCCTCACGCTCACACCCTGACCTTGACGAGACAACCTGTGTGTCCAAAGGAAGGCACAGTTTTTTTGACACTAATATCTGTATGTTTCTGTCCCTGCAGCCTTAGGAAAATCCAAAGGTACGGTACGAGGCCATGTTCAATCTCTGAAAACAAAGCAAGCCATGCCTTTAGTGAGCTCTGCGAGAGAGTGGATGTGCCGTGTTTGGTTGCTTGGCCGACTTAACGGGAGCTGGGTCTCCGTGGTTAAAACTGAATCGCAGCTCGGAGTGACCATAGGCATGGTCAGCCCCTTACCTGCCGACTAGACCCGCGGGTGTGGCCTGCAGAGATTGTAGCTCGGCCAGGGTCCCCGGGCTAGTGCAGGAGTCCTGAGTCGGGCCTGTGCCCTAGACCCCAAGTGACAAAAAAGAAGGACGGATATTTAGATTTAGAGGTCTCCCGCTGGTCAGTGCCACGTTCTAGTGCGATGCTGCCCCGCTGCCGCCCCCCTCCCCCATCCTGCCCACCTCCATCTCCCACTTGGGGGTTGGGAGTGAGTGCCCCCAGAGAGGCTGCATTCTGCTCTGGGGGGCGAGCTTGGATTCCACACGCAGGTCCTGAGGCCAGCTGGCTTTGGCAGAGGGAGGAAGCGGAGCCGCCCGGCGAGCCGGGAGGGGGGGCCGCTGCTGTGCGGCCCGGGCCCGGAGCAGCCTCGGGCGGGCGCGCGGGGCACAGCGCCCCGGCCCGGCCTCGCTTCCCCGGGCCCAGGAGGGTGCTAAGGCTGCGCTGTTGTTCTCCTGGCGGACGTGCTTGAATGTGTCCGCTGCGCGGGGGAGGGCGCGTGCTCCTGGTCACGCGTGGGTAAGCGGGTGTCTTTGTGTCCCTCGCCAGCATGGGCGTGAGGGTCATGGACACGTCCTGGGTGGCTCGAAGAGGCTCCTCGGCCGGCAGGAAGGCGTCCTGCGCCCCGCCCACCATGCAGCCCCCCGCGCCGCCCGCCGAGCTTGCCGCGCCTCTGCCGTCGCCCCTCCCGGAGCAGCCCCTGGACGGCCCCGCGGCGCCCTCGCTGTCGCCGTCGGGCTTGGGCCTCCAGCCCGGGGCCGAGCGCACCAGGTAAGCGGGACCGGGCCGGCCGTGGCGCGCGCGCGCGCGCCTGCACGCGGGACGGGGGCGGGTGGGCTGCGCTCCAGGATGCTGTCACCTCCCCGTTCCTGAGCCTTTGCGTTTGGCGTTCTGCATCCTGCTGGCACGCAGCGGGGGATTCCCCGGGTTCCCCCCCCCCCCCCCCCCCCCCCCCGCCGCCAACTCCCCCCCGGATTGTCGGATGGAGCCCCCGGGCTTCCCGAGAATAGCATCCCCCCCAGCAAGCGCATAAGGTGGCAGCTCGCTAAGGCCGTGAGAGCGGGAAGTTGCCAGCTCTCGTCTCCCCTTCTCCTTCTGCCGGAATGACTTGCCGGTTTTGAAATGCGGGGTTGCGGTATTCCTCCCTTTCTCTCCTCTCTGCCTTTAGATTCGGGGGAGCCGTTTTCCCGGCTTACGCGGGCGCAGATCAGGGGAAGGAGTGGCGGTCATGTGGTCGCTCGGGGCCTGAGGCCCGGTGCAGTGTGATGCTGGGTTGTGTTTCCATTTGTTCCCGGGAAGAAGAAAGCGAGCGAGCTCATGGCACCCCTAGTTCAGTGAATGTTTATGGGGGACGGAGTCCATCCAGAGATAAAACGTGGGGTCTGTGGCCTTAAGGCAGCCTCATCCCGTCCCAGCACGCAGATACCGGACACGGAATCCGGGCACGTGGCCGTGCGGGGTCCCAGCGGAGAGGGGCCTCGTCTGGCCCTTCCTCGGAAGGGGCATCCTGGCAGGGGGAATGGCACAGGTTCTGAGAAGTGGGAAAACTACTTCAAATCAGAGGCCGCTGTGCATTCTGTTAGCGGGGGCAGCATTCCCTTATGTCCTGCTGAAAAAAATCTTGGAGGCTTTGGGAAGCTGAACCTTTTCATCCAATCTTTTTTCTTTTTTTTAAGATTATTTATTTGAGAGAGAGCACGAGAGGGAGAGAGAGTCTTCGGCAGACTCCGTGCTGAGCATGGAGCCCGATGCAGGGCTCCATCTCATGACCCTGAGATCAGGACCTGAGCCCAAACCAAGAGTCGGACACTTGATGGCACCCCTTCGCCTGATCTTTATCATACACACACACTCACACACAAACAACCACCTCCCTAAGTGAAGGGACTGCAGGGTTGGGTTGTTTTTTTTTTTTTCCCTCTCCCATTTTAGTGAGTAGAAGGCATTTTCCCCGTGAAATAGGGAAATGACAAAAGGAAAACGGGAACAGTCAGCGTTCAGGAGTGGGGAGCTGACCATGGTTGTGCTCGGGTTGTTGATGGCTCCAGCTCAGGGCATGAGGACGCCGGCCTGGCTGTGCACTTGCTGGGCTTCAGGTCCCCTTGGGAGAAGCCGGTGTGGGAGAGCACGTTCTGCAGAGATGCAGAGAAGGATCGCTGTGGACCAGAGAGGCTGATGAGCAAGAAATGAGCGAATAGACAGGAGATCTCCAACGGTTCCGTTTTTGCGCTCTTCTTGGCTTCATCCCGATTTCCCATCTTACAACCGACACCCCGTGCTAAACGCTATTTGCCCTATTAAAAATATCTGTAGAAAATGCCCCTCAAAGATGGATTTCCCCAGCCTCTGAAGGCGTTCCCAGAATGTCATAGATGGGTGGCCCCAAGACTCACTCATGAGCCAGGAGCATCACCTGTGGGTTTGGAGTATTTAAGAGGCCGTTGCCATTGCTCATACCATCCCTTTTTCTTGGGGGTGCCCAGCTCCAAGGCTTTCCCTTGGGTGCCCATGTTTTTCTACCATTCTTTTTCTCTGCCCACATGGATTCTTCCCAATACAAACGGGTGTTCCATTGGTTTTTTGTTTTCTGGACATGTGCAGCCCAGGTGATGTTTTCTCCAGTTGCCGGATTCCTGTCCGGCCCCGCCCCACCCCCCGGATGTCAGGCCCTCCCCTCCCTCTGGCTTGCTCCAGCCTCCCCATTCTCCACCCAGGCCCACCCCATCCAGACCTGGCCGCTCTCTCCAGCCAGGCTCAGCCTCTGCTTCCAGCTCCTCTGCTTGGCATTAACTCTGCCCCCGAACGCTGCTTCCTGCCCCTTTGCACCCCAGCTCACTGCGTCACATGTCCTGCCATTGGCCCTGACCCCCCCCCCAAGCCTGGGGGGCTGGGACTTGAACTCGCCATATTTGGGAGCACAGCGGGGTTGGGGGCTGTGTTCACCCCCCCACCTGCTGGGACTGCTACCAGGCTGGGCCCCAGAAGCCTCCCCCTGCTCGGGGCTGTGCTGTGGAGGTCAGGGGAATCAGCCGTGGCCACAACATAGAGTGGGGATGCTCGTGGGCTCCTGGCAGACAGAGGGCAGAGGCGTGGAGAGGGCGCTTGCACCGGGGGTATGGAGGTCGGAGAAGAACGCGGGTCCCCAGAGCCCAAGAAGGGACAGTCATCTCTCCCAGAGCATCTCCCAAGGGCATGGGGCAGACCAAGAGCTGGCCCAGCGGAGCACGTGGGATTGCGACCCGCAGGCTGGTGCTGCGCTGGCCTCGCTGAGTTCAGGGTGCTAACTCCTCTCGTGTGCTTGTGTTCCAGCACTTTGAAAAGCAAGGAGCTTTCTCCGGGATCTGGGAAAGGAAGTGCAGGTTCCAGCCAGGGGACGCCTGGTGCAGGGACGCAGCCGGGGGCACAAGCAGGCGCCAGCCCCAGCCAGCCACCCCCCGACCAGAGCCCGCACACTCTCCGGAAAGGTACGGCACCGCCACCCTCCACTCGGGTCTCCGGCCGGGGACAGCTCTCACACTGCCCGGGCACTCGTGCCCCTCGCTTAGCGTGGATGTTGAGAGACCGCGTGACGTCGTGAAAAACCCCTGGGCTGGGTGTTAAGAGCTTTGGGCAGTTAACCAACTCCAAGAGGGACCGCTTCATCTTCGTTCCTTGTGTCTCTCACTTGAGCAGCGGGCTCAGTGGGGACGGGGTGGGGGTGTTATACAGGGCATTGCGTCCCGTACACCGAGACCTCTGTGCAGACCTCATTATCCATGACGACACGTGTCTTCCACGGACCCTGCCGGGCCCTACCGCCACCTCTTAAGATGCTGTGTGGAGTCTTGTGCTGGGGTCCGGCGTGGCTGCCTCCCCCTGGGATTGTTTCTAGAAGGGGACACGGAGCAGGGAATTGGGATTGTGGCTATGGGAGTGCTGGCCTTCGATGCTTCTGGAAGGCTGAGAGTCTGTACACTGACCCAGGAGCCGCCCGACCCAGGATCTGCCACGGAACCCGCGCTCAGAGGCCCACTTACTCTCTCTGAAATGACCTTCCCAAAGCTAAGGACATGCTCTGCGGTGACATTTCATAAACGGAGAGGTGCACAGATGGTGTGCTTTAAAACTTTTTTTTTTTTAAATGTTTTATTTATTTATTCATGAGAGTCAGAGAGAGAGGCAGAGGGAGAAGCAGGCTCCCCGCTGAGCAGGGAGCCCGAGGCGGGACTCGATCCCAGGACCCTGGGATCATGACCTGAGCCAAAGGCAGACACTTAACCATCTGAGCCACCCAGGCGCCCCTTTGCGTTCTCTCTTAAGCCAAGCCTTGAACTTAAAAGAACAGCTCCTTGACTTACGTTCTCGGTTCTGGCCTTTCTGGCTTCCCCCAAAAGTCAGAGCGGCGGAAGGGGAGGCGTTGGAGCACGGTTCCAGGGCACCACGGGGAGGTGGGGGGACTCCCCTCCGGGCACAGGAGTTGGGGCACTGCTGTGGCAGTGGGACTTAAGCATCCCGGCGCCCCCGTCCGGCACCAGCGGGTCGCCGTTGTGGTCCGGACACACTTTTCTGGCCATCTTTGTGTGCAGAGCCTTTAAGCCTCCCTCCAGCCCTGGGAGGCAGGGTGACGCCTAAGCCACGGTGTCCGGTGGGGTCGGGCCTCCTGGTCCGGGCCGGTGACACATGGGGAGTGAGGCCTGGAAAGCCTCCGGTCCCACCCCCAGGGGGCACTCGGCCGCTCAGCGTCCTCCTTTGGGAGGTCCACCTCTCTCCTCCACCCACCACCAGCTCCCGCTTAGCTTTCTTGTGTTTTGAAGCTCGCTAGGTCTTTTCACACTGCGTCTCCAGTTTTATGTCCCGGGCTAGTCCTGTCGCCACCACGGAGGGGCAAATGCCCTCTCGAACGTGCTGCCGTCCCCTGCTCCTCCCCTCCTCCGGCCCGTGCAGGGGAAGACGTGTTGGAACGTCGGTGCCTAGGGGCCCCGCCGGCTGCCCACCCAGTAAGCGATCCTGGCATCAGCCGCCTGGCCGTCGGGAGCTGCTGGAGCAGCTGCTCGGAGAGGCCACCCGGTCCTCGGGTTCGATGGCTGAGAAGTGCGTGTAGGACGGGTCACGATTCGGTGATGCTTTTGCACGCACGAGGCTGCCTAACCGCTACAACCCTGGCGAGTCCAACTGTCCTTGCCCTTGGGGAGCAGAGGTTTAGATCGACTGTCAGGGCACAGGGTGGTTAAGGCGAGGGAGGGAGCTGAAGCCACGTTGGAGAGCCCGTGTCCTTGTCCATACACTGCACGCTGACGGAGCCCGGGGGGCGCGCGCCGTCCTTGGAATAGATTTTGTTCCGTGGGGGGTGGAGGGGGAGCGGAGCTGGGAGAGAAGAGTGCCCGAGGCCTCCGTGAGCACCTAAAAGACGGTTCCTTCTGGACTTAGCGCCGTGCCCAGCAGCCCTCGCTTGATCCTGACGCGTGAGTGATCGCTTTCTCAGAACGTTTGCCCCTCGGCAGGGTCGTCCCGGTGTCCGATTTGGTCATTCTTACGGGTTCAGTGTCAGTGAAATGTGTCAAGTGTCCGGCATTGTGTTGCACGGTCGAGTCCATAAAAGGAGGGGGACGAAGGCAGCGTGAGGAGGGGGAGCCCGCAGCACGGACGTCTGCAGAGTCCTCGCCCGGAGGGCACGAGTCTGGAAAGGAAAACACGGGGGGGGCAGGTACACAGGACGGGGCGGGACGGAGAAGTCAGTGCAGGACTTGGCTCTCTGTGGCTCTCTCGGGACCCAGGAGCCAGCGTGGGCGGGGGCAGCCAAAAGCCAGGGTTTCCTGTCCCGCCCTGCTCCAGTCGTCCCTCTTGGGCCCTGTGTCACCGACTCCTCCTTCCTCCGTGTGACCCCGACACCTCCTACCACCGCGAAGTGAAGGGAGGACACTGGGCGGCCGGCCACGGCCCGTGCACGGGAAATTTGTTCTTCGCTCCGGCCAGGGCTGTGTAGATCGTGGCAGCAATCCAGGGAAGGGGAGGTTAGGGAACAGAGGAGGAGACGTGAAAACTTGCAGTTTGAGGTGAATTTTTAGAAACTGCATTCATTGGCTGTCGCGGGAGCCGGGTCGAGGGGGCTGTGGAGGGGGTGGGGTGGAGGGAGGGGCCCTCGGGGACAGCGGCTACATTTCACGACCTTGCGTGTGCCTGTGTTTTCTCTTTCAGTTTCCAAGAAGTTGGCTCCGATTCCACCCAAGGTCCCCTTTGGCCAGCCGGGGGCTGTGACCGACCAGTCCGCCAGCCAGCCGTCCCCGCTCAGCCTGTCCCCCACCCCACCGAGCACCCCATCGCCCTACGGACTGAGTTACCCGCAGGGGTACTCCCTGGCCTCCGGTCAGCTCTCCCCGGCGGCGGCCGCGGCCCCTCCCCTGGCCTCCCCTGCTGGCTTCCCGAGCACTGCAGCCAAATCTCGGCCCACCCCCAAGCCCCGACAGAGACCCACCCTGCCGCCCCCTCAGCCTCCCACAGTCAGCCTGCCAGCCCCGAGTCCACAGTCCACGGAGCACCCCGTGCTGGACGGCATGGCCCCCGGGGAGAGCATGTCGACAGGTAACCAAGCCACGGCGTCGCCACGGTTTTCCACGAACCTCAGCTGGGTGTGCCCGGTGGCGGGATCCCTGGTGCCACTGCCCGTGAGCACGTCTGTCTGCCCCGGGGTGGTACCACGCGTGGCTTCTACGATCATCTTGGGAGCCGCCGGCCCCCCCCCCCCCCATGAGACCGGTGGACATCGGCCCCGGGATCCAGATTGTCCTGCAGAAGGGCTTTTTATGGGATTTCTCCCAGTGGATGCCCGCCAGTGCAGGGTCCTGATTCTGTTCTTAATCGGGGGGTTGAGCACCGAGAACTCTGAGGTGGTGCTCGGTGCTTCGGGAGAGGCTGGGGAGGCGGGGGCCGGGCTGTGATCGCAGACCGGCTGGCATCTAAAGCACAGGTGAGGCATTTGCAGCTCTCCTTGGGTAGAGTCCAGGCATCTACAAAGGTACAGACCCTTATCTTGAGACCAGAGGCTAAGAGCCAAAGACATTGTTTCCTACTGATGTAAGAAGCCTTATTAGAAACCTGCATTTCCAGCAGTATTTAGAGAAGGGTCAGTTTCAGGAAAGATGCCGGTCCCTCTGATTCTTGGAGGAGCTTACTGACAAGCCCACAGCTGCTAAATTTAGTCTTGCTTTAAGTTTAAAAGTCAAGATGGAGCTATTCTCCATCACCGCCGCCGCCCCAGGAAAATGTAAAAGTGTGAAATTACAAACACACCACATTGGGCAAAAACCGTTCGTTGGTTGAAGAGGACGTTTTTGCAACGTCTCCGCAGATACTCTGGCCACGTGACAGTAGAGACTCGGGGCGTGTTTGTGGCTCTAGCCAGGCTAGTGTTTCCCTCGCTCAGGGAGGCAGACAAAGCGCTGGACTGTGTCTTGGCATAGATGCAGGCCACGTGTCACCAGGCGGCAGAGCCCGGGCACATCTGTTCAGGGTTGCCCCAAGTAGCAGCTGAGGCACACACGCCCCAGATACATGCACGCAACACGCAGATGCCACACACACACCCACACTAGACAAATACCAGATTCATACACATGCATACAAACCACACACACACACACAC